GAGCCATTGTTGAGCACCCTTTGGGTTCGACCAGTCAACCAATTGCAATTACTTGAAAAACCTGTATACTCTTCTACTGTTCTTTGAAGCCAGAGTCATAATTTGCATCTTTCTATAACCTATCACACTCTGTTCCATACCATAACTATATAACTTAAATACCAACACTGCAGTATCTGCACTGCAAGTACTCCATCAGTGCATCTGAAAAAGCACCACAAAATCTAGCACTACTAGATTACTTTTCCCCTCATTATACATCATGTATAAGCAAATCTCCTCAACAGCCAGTGTGGTGTAGTGGTTTGAGCATTAATTTGCAACTCTAGAGGCCAGGGTTCAAATCCCCACTCGGACATAGAAACTCACTGGGTGACCATGGGCAAGTCACATTCTCTCAGAGTAAGGTAAAGACAAACCCCCTTTGAACCAATCTTGCCAAGAAAACTGCATGATAGCTTCACGTTAGGATTGCTGTAAGTCAGAAATGATTTGAATACACACAACTCCTTGAATTCAGTGGGATACAGTTGCAGACATACAAAGCAATATATTAGAGTAAAAAGTTATTCATTTCACCAAACTAGAAAGAGTTTGATAAACTTCCTGTTACTGATATTGCTTGCTGTTTGATAAAATTCCTGTTGCTATTTTTTTTATCTATTGATAATGCAAATGGGAGGGGGGGGCGAGGCTTAGGCCACAGCATGTGGGTTATGGATTGGTAGATCATACATTAAAGAGGTCTGTTTTGAATATATATATTTATATTTGCAAAATTAATTTAAAATCCTAAAGGTAGAGTAAACTTACCAATCAGATACATGCCAATCCAGTCCCCTGCGTCTACTTCTTCTTTTATATCCCAATAAATAACTAGATCTTGAGAATGTCCTATGGAATAATAGGAGCTGCTGACCATAAGTGTAGACCGGCTGTCTGAAGTGACCAAGTCTGTATCACTCGTTGAACGTGGAATAGTAACCGTTTCATGGGGGCCATTCCCAATGTCCATATTGTGGAACTGGTCTGGGTTGTAGCTGTACCTTAGAGGTTCTTTACACCGCCGCCGATTCTGCGAATTCCTAGATGGAGAGGCCATAGCAGCCAGGCCCAGGAACCTGTTCTGATACAGATTCTGTCAAAATGAAATAATACAATCAATGAAATGTTGAGTCTGACACACAAACACATACACATCACTAGTTTCAAAAATAAATATGAGGAAGTGAAACAATGTTATGTCCATGTATAAATGTATATAATGGCATTTAAGAAAGATTTCTTGTGACAACTTCAAAGGGTAAACAGTACATACTGCACATACCTGCAGCTGCCCATAGTGAATTATAAATTGGTGGGAATTTTCTCATCAGTTGCATGTTATTAACACCACTTGTTTTATTGTCCTTTATTGTTTCTTATGAGGCAATATGAATTTGTAACTACATATTTTGCATAAGTAGAATTTATTCTGCTAGAAATATGATGTTACAACACAGGCGTTCCAACAGAAGAATAATTCCTGCTGGACTCTTTGGCTTTTTTCTGAGATATTGAGCCTTCTATGTCAGAGAGTGCTGGTGCCACAATAAACTACAGTTTCCATGATTCCCTATCACCTAGCCAGGACAGTTAAAGTGGACTCAAGTTGCATTATTTCTGGCAATCTGTAAATGCCCTTAGTGTATGACTTACTACAGTCATCTTTCTTTTCTTTACTTGGCCCAACTGCACCATCTGCTTTGGTAAAAGGATGCAGAGGCACTTTCAAAATTTTCCTGTGTTTGCCAGCTAAGCTCGCTCCCTGGGCTTGGTATTCCTAGTCTGTAGCTATGGACGGTGCAATTTTGTGCTCAGTATTTAATACTGTGCTAGAGGTGAGCATTTTAGCAAAATCCCTTTTGGGCCCAAATGTTCTGCTACCTTCCCACAGCTGACTCTGCACCATCTGCTTTTATGCAGAAGCTGGTTCTGAGCCTCATCACAGATGGGAGGAAGGGAGATGGCTGCTGTAGTAACTAGGAATGTGAGCTGCCTTCACACATGGGGGGGACACACACACACACTTCCCAGGGCAACCTGCATAAGGCAGCCAAGGCGCCACATATATCTGCCATATAGTTTGCTTTGATACTTCCGCAAAGTATTGCATTTGGTGATTTTGCATCCAAAATTACACAGTTGTTTTTGTATGGTGACAAGAGAAATTAAAAAACAAACACCTTTGTAGAATGTGACTGTGGAATATGAGATACACCACTGCAATGATAGATATGCTGGCTAAACAGATCAGAACATCTGCTGGTGCATCCATTTCACTGGTAAAGATATACATATATTATCAGAGTACGTAAAAAGAAATGAAGTTGTGTGCAGGGCTGGAGCAATTCACACCCCTGTTCTACAGTCTTGCCCCAAATAATGATACAACTTTACCTTAGCTTCAAACCAAAACAAGACATGTTCCTTCCACTGACTAATGGAAGGGGAAGAAAGGGAAAATTAGCTGTCTCCACCCAAAACAACCATTACAATACATGTCCAACATGACAAACAGCCAGATTACCTAACCACAATTACACATGCACATGCACACACACACACAAAATTATTATATTGATTGTATGCCTTCACATCATTTCCACTAGAGTTGGTGTCACCCAGTGTGGTAACTCATGGTGTTATCCCCATGGACCTCCTCCTATACCATACCATACAGAATCCTTAGTAATGTTTTTTTGTACTCATGTAACTCCTTTATATCACTGAACATAATAGGAATAGTAGTGCTATAAACAACTATCAAAGGTGTAATTTTAAATTACAATATCACATTTACATAGTTTCATGTAGTTAAAGTGAAAATCTGGTAAGAAAACAACGGAATTTGAAGTACAGTAAAAACATTTTAAGAACTGCATCAAAATTATGTTCATTTTGACATTCAACTTGTTCGCACTAGGGTACAACTGTGTCCACATGCACAAGACTGCCAGCCAGGAAGACAAACACCACTGCCGACTCTGGAAGTAGTTCACAACTGCTGAGGTTCTTCCAAAGAGGCTTTTAATCTTAGGATTTATTGCTTTTTAAATTGACTTACCTCTCTCAATTTAAATTTAAATTTGGGTGGCATCCTGATGTTATCAGAAGGATTTTGCCACTGAATCTGCTGCCCGGATACAGCCTGGGTTCTTCCCTGCTCACAGGGGCACTCTGATGACCATTTTCTTAAGCCAGGAGGACTTTTCTGGCTTCAAAAAGAGGCGTACTGAGAACCCCTATGAGTGGGAATGGGCCAGGGTTGTATTCAGGTGGCAGATTCAGTGGCAAAATCCTTCTGATAACATCAAGATGCTGCCTGAATTAATTTAAATCAAGAGAGGTAAGTCAATTTACAAAGTGGTGCAATAGTCTCCTTAGTTGTAGCAAATATTTACAATCACAATATCGAAATATTTATATAAACCAGCATAATGTTCTGCCATCAACCGGCATCCACCAGGTAGGACCACCTGTCCCCCTCCCAAGGGGATAAAAGCTGGGTGCTTGCTAGGACTGAGGGGAGCCAGCACATGGGAGGAAGAGACCACCTCACCACGCCAGGAAGAGCCGCAACACCTGCCTGCCTACTTGCTTTGCTTTGCTGCTGCTTGCTGCTGGCAGACTTCCTGGAGGACTGCTGCCTTCTCCAAGGACTGCTCCCTTCAGGATCAGGCTCCAGGCACCCAGCCTATCCCTGGCTAAATAGCCAGGTAGGGCAACTTGTCCCCTCCCAGGGGGATAAAAGCTGGGTGCCTGCTGCAGTGGGCCTGCTGCCAAAGGGAGTGACACCAAGGGGGGCACCTCTTTGGAGCTGCTTTGGGGGGCCAGGGCCAGTCCCTCTGGTTTGTCAGAGAGGAGTTGTTTGTAACTTCAAACAACTGGCCTGCCAGCAGTAAAATATGGGCTACAAGGAAGGCAAGGGAAATTAAACAGTCCAGGGAGTAGCCATTATATCAGTAATGGGCAGAGGGAGATACAGCAAGGGGAGTCAGTTTTGTCATTCTGGTAGAAAGGCTTGTATTATGGACACCTGGCTGGATGAAGCTGGGGGCGGGGCGCGCTAATCTCTCCCAGCTTTGCCCACCTGGGTTTTCCGTTCAGTAGCAGGTGGGGACTGGGGGGGTAGGTGGGAAGGCAGAATTACAGTGGTCTATCAGGATTCCATCTCCCTTACCAGGTGCCCTGTCCCACAGTCTACTGGGTATGAGTGTGTTTACTTAAAAGTGGATGGTTGGGAAAGAATAGGGATTCTGTTGGTATACCATCCACCCCGCTGCACAACAGTCTCCCTTCCTGAGCTGATGGAGATGGTCTCTGCAGTGGCGGGGAATCCCCTTGGCTGGTGATCTCGGGAACTTCAACATCGATGCAGAGACTCCACTGTCAGGAGCAGTTCAGGACTTCATGTCTGCCATGACAACCATGGGGCTGTCCCAAGTAGTATCTGGGGCCACCCATGTAGCACGACACACTCTGGGCCTGGTTTTCTGTTCGGGCCAATATGATAGTGATCTGTGAGTGGAGGAACTCCCAATAGTTCCATTGTCATGGACTGATCACTACCTGGTAGAGTTTAGACTCACTGGGATTCAGAGCTTCTGCAGGGGTGGAGGGCCGATTAAGATGGTCTGCTCCAAGAGGCTTATGGAGAGTTTCCTACTGCCTTGGCAGGTGATCCTGTCGAAGCCCTGGCTGATTTCTGGAATAGGGAAATGGCCAAGGTGGTGGACATGATTGCCCCTAAGCGTCCCCTAACATGAAGTGGAGCCAGGCATGCCCCCTGGTTTACCAGGGAGGTGATGGTGATGAAACGAGTGGGACGGAGACTAGAGCGACGATGGTGGAAGACTCAGACTAAATCTGACAGAACACCGGCTAAATCACTGGGAAGTCTATGCCGTGGCAGTGGTGGCAGCAAAGAAACTATATTTTTCTGCCACCATTGCATCTGCAAAGTGTTGTCCAGTGGAGCTGTTTCGAGTTGTCAGGGGCCTCTAACATTCTGGACCCCAAGAAAGAAACAAAGACCACCCAACAGCTTGCTATGAGGAATTTGCAAGACACTTTGCACACAAAATCGCTCGGATTCACTCTGGCTTCGATGCTGTAGTTGAGACAGGTCCAGTCATAGAGCCTCCTTGTCCCACAGTATTGGATAAGTTTCTGTTTGGGCAGCCTGGGGATATGGATAGGATCCTTGAAGAGGTGAGACCCACCACATGCATACTGGATCCTTGCACTTCCTGGGTTTTGAAATCAGCTAGAGGGGGACTGGCCGAGTGGGTAAGGGGAATGGTGAATGCTTCACTG